GCATCCATTTATGCCTGATTAATTAATATTCGTGGAATAACACAAGACATTTAGCAGTATGAAGTTCTTTAAATACATTCAGTAAATTATTCCAGAGTATTTTTAAACTGACAGCTATTTTAACACAAGGAACGAGTGATATTGATGGTCTACTTAACGAGTTCCGAAATACAAATGTTATAGTCTTAACGAGTTCCGAAAAACAAATGTTATAGTACAATTATTTTCATGTTGGTTCTATTGCTTTCTAAGTAGTTATATTATTGGCTTAGATAAAAACAGTTTTGTTGAATGGCGAGTGGGAGCTATATAGCTATATCTGTTAATGATTGGCAATAGCCATGATGTGCTTTACTTACGTCAAACTTGGCTATTAATCAGAATTGAATAAATCTAAGCAGTAAATACAGAGTAAAATTTTAGCATGTTAAGTTTTCTAACATCATAGCTGGTGCATACTGCACGTTATATAGTCTCAACAACTACAGTCGAAAAATACATTGTTCGCGTCCTCGGTGCATAAAGCGGGGAAAATACTCGCATCACTATGCAAAATAAGCAATATGCAGCGATTTTTTTGCGCTTTAGAAATTGCTCAAAAAAAAAGTAAAGAGTTTATGGAAAGGTTATTAAGCTTAGTGATTTGTATTTTACTATTACAGACTTTTATGAATCAAATGATTCTGTAAGTTTGATAATTAGAGGACTGTTTGCGTACGCGTGCAATATCATTGTATTTGAACTCGTATATGAAAAGATACCATGCATTAGTATTATTTCTATTGGTATCTTTAGCTTTCCACCCAGTATGACCGATATATTTGGAATACATGCTTCATGTAAATGTCACCCAGAATAGCCAAGAATTTCGAATGAAAAAAGATGATATAATAAAAACCATTCCTTAGTGACGATAGCGTTGATGAAACGACGGTAGTTATCGGGATTTTCACAAACTCTATATTCGCTATTATCCAATCCTTTTAACAGAGTAAGCAGGGTCATTAAGTTGAAAGTAGTTTATAGATTATTCATACCAGAGCTTGTAAATGTATCCGTAATGATTGTCTGATTTAGTACAATTAAAAAACATCCATCCTTTAACAATAGAATATTTCTTCAGTACGATGACTGATGGCTTTGATACTATGATATTAATCGTTATTTGATACGCGAATTACCTCCCGTGAATTAGATTGCGATGCGTTTGAAGTTATACCTTATATGGCTAAATAATATGAACTTTGATGTAAACGGGCGTCTTTTTCGGAAACTGATAGTTAAATTTGAAATTTGTGTCCCAAGATCATAGAAAATTACAAATTATGACATCAGATGTTGGTTGAATATATTGTTTTTCTAATTCGTATTTAAATGATATCTTACGATTATGTTTATTATGTCAATAACATTCTAATAGGATAATTCTTATGTGGATTCATAAATCTATCATTGTGCTATCTCTATACAGCTATGTGGATTCATATATCAGTCATTGTAATATCTCTATACAGCTATGCGTATTCATATATCCATCTTTGTACTATCTCTATACAGCTATGTGGATTCTGATGTTCAGTAGTTGTCGTTTGTTGATGTGGTTCATAAGTGTTTCTCGTTTCTCGTTTTTTATATAGATTATACCGTTGGTTTTCCCGTTTGAATGGTTTTACACTTGTAATTTTTTGGAGCCCTTTATAGCTTACTGTTCGGTGTGAGCCAAGGCTCCGTGTTGAAGACCGTACTGTGACCTATAATGGTTTACTTTTATAAATTTTGACTTGGATGAAGAGTTGTCTCATTGGCACTCATACCACATCTTCTTATATCTATATCATATATCTGTCTTTGTACTATCTCTATACAGCTATGTGGATTCATATATCTATCTTTGCACTATCTCTATACAGCTATGTGGATTCATATATCTATCTTTGTACTATCTCTATACAACTGTGTGGATTCATATATCTATCTTTGTACTATCTCTATACAGCTGTGTGGATTCATATATCTATCATTGTACTATCTTTATACAGCTATGTGGATTCATATATCTATCTTTGTACTATCTCTATACAGCTAAGTGTATTCATATATCTATCATTGTAATATCTCTATATAGCTATGTGGATTCAAATATCTATCATTGTACTTTCTCTATACAGATATGTGGATTCATATATCTATCTTTGTACTATCTCTTTACATCTACGTGGATTCATATATCTATCATTGTACTATCTCTATACAGCTATGTGGATTCACATATCTATCATTGTACTATCCCTATACAGCCATGTGGATTCATATATCTATCATATAATTATACTATCTCTATACAGCTATATGTATTCGAACATCTCTCGAAACATTATATTTGGCACAAATCGTATCCACATTTTACTGATGTTTGGTAAGAAAACTTTCTATTAGAATTTGATGATTTCTTACATTGAGTAAATGTGATAAATTTGATCCGATAGGGGTTACACCTCGTAATAAAGTCGTTGAAAGTAAAACAGGATTGTGTAGCTTTCAGTTTTGTTTTGTTTTTAATTTTGTTATGTTTTTTTTTTAAAAAGCAAGCCAGCTTTCTTTGAAAAGTTACAAATAAGGCTATTCTAAAGTGTATATTTCAATGTAATGTTAGCTCTGTTATTAATGATGTCATTGCATCAGAAACAAATGCGTAAATATGCTGAATTACTATTCCCAAACTGAATTAAGGTCTGCTATTTAAAACTATATTCACGTATTATAAGTCGAAGCTTATTACTGCCGTTTTTGCAACTTCACTATCAAATGTATCGAAAATAAAATGCAGAATAATAACGTTTGAAGTCATAACGACAAATAAGGAATGCCAAATTCAGTGTTACTACAAAATTTGTATTAGTAATTTAAATGATATGAGTTTGTAACATCATATCCTATACCTGCTATAAATTGTTGGTGTTAACATTATAATCGATTGAAAGATAAGTTCGTGTAAATAGTACCTCCGACATTCAAGTCAACCCCAGGTGTTTCGGTATTGAATATCTTTACGAGTCATTGGTTAGCTATGACGAAGGGATAAATCGATCCTTTATAATGTTGGTCTCCTTTTTTTGGGGAAACATTATGATACATTGTATTATATTTGTAGCTATAGCTTGTTTTCCTTCTTTGCATTTAATGATAGGATTATCCCAAAACCGCAAAATTCTTTGAGTTTTTTTTTTATTAAAATATTATGAATAAAAAGAGATGTGGAATACGTCAGCAACCAAACGACACACAAGTACATAAAAGGCATCCATAGATCATTATTCGGTCTTCTACAATAGACAAATGTTTATACAACATGTTAAGCTTTAAATCGTCCCGAGCGGAGTCGAGTCGATTTTTTTAAATACAAAATCTTTTTTCAAAACAAATCAAATGTTTCGATTGGGATCATTTTGAATCAAATATAAATATTGCTGTATCAAGCTGAACAATGTATTTATAGATACGAAATATTCTGATAAGACACCGTGACAAAGATCACGTCCCTCCAACATTTTATGTTTTTGTATATAGGTAAATAATTTCTTGTTGGAGAAACGTTTGTTTTTTTTTTGGGGGGGGGGGGGAAGGGGGGGGGTCAATTAACCACAAGGACAATTAAAATATAAATGTATTTTCCTCAAACGAGATAAAACACTTCGAAAATATATTTCCTATCCTAAAACCGCAAATGTCTTTAAGGAACACAAACACGTTTCATCAAACCATAGATGTTATACCCATATATAGATCAAACCGAATATGCCTTAGACTGCCTGCTATCCGTCTTAAACGAATTAATGAATAATTCAAGTTGACTTTGACCTGAATTCACCCCAGTACAAAAGGGGACTTTTTTTTTTTAAATTTTTGTCGTTTTTCATTTTAGCCTTGGTATCTGCTCCTTCTTTGTCAATGAAATGTCAATAATTAAAAAATGTTAATTTCGTCAAAAATAAAGATAATACTGCAATCTATAGCTAGAACGCTAATGTTTTAACTGTAAAATGCACCTTAACAGCAACGGCGGTTATTTGACGTAATAAACTCGACTATGACGATAGTTGAAAAATGCTCTTCCTTCCTGCAGAGATAATTTATCATCGATAAACCCTCTTTATCGCGAGCGAAATGTAGATACGATATCAGTCATTTTCACCAGCTGTTTGGTAACCACGTGTACGCGATAAATACACGTGCATAGGAATCAAAATGTAAAAAGTCAGCCTACCGAGAGGTTGGTGGCTTCCCGTTCAAGGTTGTCGATTTTCTATGGACGCTTCAATTTTTCTATTTTGTCAAGAAAATGGCATTAATAAACAATGAACGAAACATTTAAAAATTAAAATTTCTGTCCTTATCAATCATTTAAAAGTCTCGTTGCTCTAAATATTGTTAATGTATTATGACAGTTTCTCAACTCTTGTGCCAAATCCGCAGAAATAATGAATTGAGTATGCATTAGTGAGCTGAATAAAGAGTGATATGTTTTTTTAAAATTCTTTCCACATTGTAAAACGACCCTAAAGCTAAATTAGGGCTGATATGCCATACATTGATGCGAAATCATCCACATATGTAATGTATCAATTAAAATTTGTTTTAATCAGTCGTACCCTCTCACTTTACTTTGATCCACATTAAGTACTTTGTAAGCTGTTAATACTATACTTATCACTACATTTATATCTCTCTATATATATGTTAATTTTGCCTTTGCCCTTTTCAGCCTGCAACTGCAATCTCCATGCACGCAGATGCCGCTTTAATATGGAACTATATACATTGTCTGGATACAAGAGTGGAGGGGTGTGTTTGAAATGCCGCCACAACACGGCGGGTAGAAATTGTCATTATTGCCGTGAAGGTTTTTACAGAGATTCCACCAAGCCCATTACACACAGGAAGGCATGTAAAGGTAGGAAGATAATTAACATTTCATTTTAACATGTCATTTTATCTTTCAGCATGTAACTGTAATTTGCATGCGAGACGGTGCACCTTTAATAGGGAGCTGTATTTATTGTCTGGATTCAGTAGTGGTGGAGTATGTCTGCGCTGTAAACACAACACAGCTGGTCGCTTTTGTCATTATTGCAAAGAAGGCTATTACCGCGATCCAACTAAACATAAAACAGATCGTAGAGTGTGCCGAGGTATGAGAAATTACATTTCTCTTTTCCTTCGCACGGTATAACTGCACGCTTATTAGCTTTACTTGCATAAATAATGTTTCCACTTCACAACTGTTTCCGGAAGTGTGTCGGTATCCAAAGTTATATGACTTTTACAACTGAGTTTAGATTTGTTCCCAATCACATTTCACAGACTTTGTTTGATTATGCTTGTAGCAGAAACAATTTGATATTGTTTCACTATTTTTTTTTTGCGTTAAATTGTTTTATTGCTTTTATAGATACTTTTCACTGCTTTATTCTAGTACAGCAAACCTACACATTTTAGATTAGTATTGCTTAACTTCACTGATTATGTGCACGCAAAGTAAATATGTACATGCAAAGTCATTGTTAGTATAAAGGTTCGTTCATAATGTCAGATGGGACAATTGAAGACTCAAATTCAAGGTAAAAAAAAACGTGTGTGAGTCAAAATTATCCTGCCATGTGGTAACCGTATTCTTATATGTATATTTCAGTGTTTATTTGTTTATATAGTTCTTGATTTGACAGCCTGAGAATACCGAGAAAACAACATAGACATCTAATCGACATAATATGGATTTCAAGCACATGTTTTAATTTAAAAAGACTTCTATCAAAATTTCGGATGGAGTTTAATAAAACTGTATATTTTTCATTTTAAATATCGATATATGCTATATCGGAAACCAGAATTTCAATTTTCGGATTTGAAACAAAACCTGCCATTAATTCTACTAAATAAATACATTCGATGGGTTTATATTGGACAAGCACCAAACCAACTATTACCCTCTGTAAAGGAAGGATGAACGTTTTTTGCTAGGAATCAGTTTATATACGGTTAGAATAATCTTATACTAATAAGGATAAAATTGAGAATGGAAATGGAGACAACAACCCGACCAAAGAGCAGAAAAGGACATGCTTACTTAGATTAATTGATTCTTGTTTGCCTAATGTCCAGGTGCAAATATTTTCTGTCTATTCAGGACGAAAACGAATGAACACTAAATGTATATATATAGGTTCTGTAAACTATAGGTAAACCAGAAATGTAACTTGCCTTGCAACAAATCACTTACATACCCGTCAAAAACGTGTTGCAGATGTTTATTGTGCTGAACTTCTTTCACGATGTAAACGTATAATCGTATGTACGGACGACCCCTCATCGTGGATTTTACCACCAGGTAGGAGAAGTCCAAGTGAACTTATTTCTACACCCTATTCAACCCTTTGGGTCATGTGAATTGACAGGGCAAGGGTAAGAGATCTTGGCCTGTCCTGTTAGTCGAATAGGGAAGGGGGGGGGGGGGCACTTCTGCTTGTAAACATCAGATAATGTCATGAAAAGAGAGAAGAGGGAAGGACTGCGGCAATACAAATTAATAGCAAAAACATTGGCACAAACCTGGAAAATAGAGCAAAATATGTTATTATATACACTTACATAAACTAAGTGAAATAAAAGTAAATTAGTTGCGGAGTTATGGTATTATATTAACTGTCAATATCTCTTAGATGTTAATATTACCGAATTCTCTTTTTACATCGAAAGTTAAACAATTACACATGTAAAATACCACCTCTTCTAACTTAAAGAAATTTTTATTATGATTGCACAGGTGTGCTCAAAAGCTAACCGAAACGTTTGATAACATTCTAGAGACCTTTTCTTTTCTTTTTCTGAGTGACGCATAAACATAAATCATGTCTATACGTACATGTAAGTGTTCACATCTGGGAATATTTGATGAAAGCCTTTAGTCTCCATAATACTAGTGCCCTCTTTACAAATATATGAAATAGTAATTGGTTAACCCATTTGATTGTTGCCGTCTTAACGCCGCATCAGCACGTTATGGATGCATTGTTGCTAGTAACGGGGAAAAGACTCGAAATAAACACAGATAAACTCGCTTGTAACTTCAAAGCGCTGCACCAATAAAACGATTTCTGCATTCTGCTGGTGAAAAAAAGAAATCCTTCTAATTGTCAAAATTCAATTTTTCATGTATGAATGATTCTTGGTAACTATAGAAACAAATCAGAAAGTCCTACCACATGTCAGTGCAAGATTTGAAACACTTTTCTCGATGGCATGTTCAGTTCCCCATATATTTCCCGGACGCACGAACTTTATTAAGTTTTATTTTCAAGCGACATTATTACTCATTCATGTTAGCATCCTAACAATGTCTCACAATGGAGCTGTTGGATAGTTTTTGGGTTTAACCCTTTATTACATTAACTGATTTGTGCTGAATGCATACGTTTAAAATGCCGGTTAAGATCCTATTTAGTTTGCTTAATTAGAATACTTTGGCGTAAGGAGAGTGCCACGCTTTCTGGGCTTGAAAGAACCATTGCAGTAATTCCTTGAGGAGACCATAGGTTACTGGCTGCAAGGCAAACATTTTACCCCTATCCAACATACCCTCATGTTTTATGGCAGTCCAAATTTCCCGTCCTTCATCCCGGGTGATCCACTTTCCAGAACCAACGTCAATTTGTTCTCGTCCTGAATAATTCTGAAATATTTGCCACTAAGCGTCAGGCAAGCAACATCAACCGATCAATACAATACTGTAAGGCTTATAGTTGATAAAATCCGCCTCATTTGGACTAGGAGATCAGCATAAGGCACATAGCGATTAAAAATAGCTCACAAAGGGAATCAATAATTTCCCCTACTTGTTATATAAATTCAGCAAAGTAGACATCTGATACCAACACCGAATAGGGATGGTTAATTTCCCCTTTTATTTATTTCAATCAAAATCGCAAAGTTGATGAAACTTAATGGAATTTTAGAACTAAACTTGTACATAATATTTTTTAAAAAGAAATTTGTATGCAATCAAAATATTACAATAGTGCTACGTATATCTGTTTAAAGCAATTTTGATACCATTAATGCAATGTTGTTTTTTTTTTGGGAGGGAGGGGGGGGGGTATCCAAAGACAACCGATAGGAATAAATGTGTATCTAATACCATTACATAGCTTTACGTCTGGTAAGACTTTGGTTTTGGTTTAAAATATCCTACTTGGTTTTTTTTTTGGATAAAATCGACAAAATTTTGTTAGTTACTGTATCTCGAAGCATATGCACGAAGCTTTGTTACTGTGAGTTATGAAAGTTTTGGAAAATAGTCTTGGTGGGGAATTTCTTTTAACAGAGCATTTTTTTATGTAACGAGCTCATAAAACAAGTGTTGATTTGTGATGAATTTCGTTTGTGTGTGAGTAAAATTCTAACGCATTGCATTTTTTCCACAAAAATCAAAATGATGATAGAAATAGATTCAAAATAATGAAAACAATTTTTTTCAATACAGTTAAAAAAAATACAAGTACTGAGGCCTAAATATAAGATGGAATTGTTATAGTAGTTCATCACACATTTCCTGTGTTTTGTTCTTTTAATGTTCATAGTGGTTTTGTAAGTGTTATCAATGAATAACAAGAAACACTGGTTATAAAGAAGCACATGTTTACAAACCAGTCAAGTATGTTTAAATTAAATACTTGATCGCCAAAGCAAATTCAAATTAAATTTATCAATTATAAATGTCACCATTCAAGTCAATGATTCACTCTGAATACTAAGTCTGTTTTTTAGAACTTTTTTTTAAGTTTTTAAATGAAAAGAAACTTACATTTTTATACAATAAATCATACAAATTTATGCATTATATGCATCTTCTGCATGATTTTTGTATTGAGGTTCATAATTTTAAGAATAATAACATCTCTCTACATTGTAGATGTCCTTGTAGATAACTTAGTTATTATCAGCAAACGGTTTGTTCATTCACAATTGACGTTTGCAGTTATAGATATGCACATAAATTAAAATTGAATCATGTGTATGAAAATCTATTATAGTAAATAAATAATGACTAAAAAAAATATATATAAATAACATCTTATAGTTATCGTCCCATTTCTTGTGTCTGATGATCAAAATTGTTTAATTCATCTGTACCAACATTTCTAATTTACAGTTTTTTTTTATTATTTCACAATTTTCATAATTATGAATAACAAAATTTTTACCACAAAATAATCTTTCTGAAATTTTTTAATAGGCCAAAATATGGTGTTTATCCTCTTTTTTTATTGTATAATTATTAACAGAAGTTTTATTATTCTTATTTTTATTTCGTATGACTCAAAGTTTGGGTCTACCATGAATAATTTGACAGAAATACCACTGAAGCAAAGCAACATTGTAATTTGTTCCAGTGGTAGTTCGATTACTCTGTTATTAATCGATTCTACCGCGAATTAAACACCGACACATTTAAAATTTTATATTAAAAATATTAAGTCAATTAAATAAATGGAATTATATTATTTAACTCTAGTTAATAAAAGGTATTTAGATATTTGTGTAAACACCTTCTATTTTTTAATCTGAATGTGACATTGCATAGAACGGAGAGATTTAAAACTCTAACACCTTTGTGTTGCGCAGGAGTAGAAAGAAAGAATCCAGCTTATATAGAAACCAATAGCTAGAGAATCTATCTCAAGAGCTTTACACCTAAATCCACATTGAGAAATTGGACAAAGATTTCTTTTCAAATAAATATCATGGTTTGATGAACGCATGTTTCATTAGCGATCATATTGGTACTTGAGAAATTTTAGATTAACCGCCAAATTAGACCTCCTCTGCGGAATTTCTTTGTATAAACACATCGACTCAGAATTCTAGATTACAGTTTTCACACCCTTTAATGAATTTTGAATATACATTATCTTCTGTCCTTTGCAATTTCCGAAGTTTTCAAAACAAAGTTACGTAACCCAATTTCACTAAATTGAAAAATAAAGTATTAAAATTTTACAAAATAGACATTTCAAATTTGGCGTGAAAAACGTTATGTTCATTACTTTATACTATGTTGAATTGATGAGAGTACATTTTTTTTATTAAAGCCTGACTCCGTGTGTTTTTGAAACAATCGGAATACCACATTGCATAGAAATAAGAAGATGTGGTATGAGTGCCAATGAGACAACTATCCATCCAAGTCACAATGTGTAAAAAGTAAACAATTATAGGTCAAAGTACGGCCTTCAACACGGAGCTTTGGCTCACACCGAACAGCAAGCTATAAAGGGCCTCAAAATGACTAGTGTAAAACAAATCAAACAGGAAAACCAACGGTCTAATCTATATAACAAACGAGAAACGAGAAACACGTAAGAACCACACCAACAAAGGACAACATGTCTTTTCTTGTTTATTAGTTACAACACAACTCTTTGAATGTATTATTGTTTGTTCTGCTATAAAGCGATTGATTGAGTTGAGTATGGTTTCCTGATAATTTTAAGTTTTTTTTTTATACGTACTGGCCTTCTACGAAGTCTTATATTTCCAGATTAAATTGCTCGGTTGACCCCCTTCCGATAACTATCCAATCTTTGTAGTGATATTTCAAAGACAAAGTTTTAACCAAAACGAAATATAGTATGTGTGTTTGCTAGAAAACTTCACAATAAAACAGTGACTTTTTAAGTATACATTTAAATCTGTGAAGTAAAAGTGGCGTTTTATGGCAGAATAGGGTTATACAAATCCTCTGAAATTCAAGATCGAATATATATAACATCACAATTTAACCTTAACCTTTAAAGTTTTTCGGCGTATATGATGAAAAGTCGAATTTTACCATTCGGATCTTTTCGAGATTTGTAGAAGTTGGCTTTAGTTGTACTTACAACAATTCCGTCACATTTTAGTTTCAAATGTCAAACACAAATTTCCATTAAACACCAAATTATGTGTTGCATCAGGGATTTTTTTTTATAATATCTTATTTATCCATTCGTGATGTATTTTAGAATATGAAAACTAGAAATTTGTTGTAAAAAGATTAAGTTGCAAAAGCTTCATATGCACTTACTTTAAGGTCCTCGTTTAATAAAAAAAGATGTATAGATTTCATTAAATGAGGAATATGATCAGATACTGAAACGGCATTTTGCTTAATAACTCTTAAACACGTAGTTTCCCTTTCGCTCGTTGCGTGAAGAATAGGATAGAGAAGTATTATATTGTCTTAAATGGGTCATAACTTAAGTATTCAGTGGATTAAACACGTGCATAGAATAGAACTCAAATCCGATGGAAACTATAGTTAAAAACAATGAATATTTTTGGAATGTTTGTGCAAGATGTCTTCAGGAAAAGAGACATGGTTTACTTTTACAAATTGTGACTTGGATGGAGGGTTGTCTCATTGGCACTCATACCACATCTTCTTATATCTATAGTCTCGAATACTTTCCGATTTTAATGTATGAATAAGGGGAAATGGTTAAAAACTGCTTATAATACACAAACGAAAAGAAAAAAAAACTTGGTTCAATTGTTCAAGATCACGATGCTTATTTAACCATTATAGACAATCTCCAAATAATTTCTATGATTTGTTCTTATGTTGGGCTGTTGCACCACTGTCCTAGGTTAGGGGAGGGTTGAGCACTAAGAAACATGTTTAAGTCCGCCTAATCCTGTATGACATGTCCGAAGTCACGAGCCTGTTTTTTAGTGGTTTTCTTTGATTGCTGTCAGTAATATTTGTTTTTCGTGTATTGTTTTGTCATAAATCAGGCCGCTTGTTGTTTTTCTAATATGAATTGCTGGAAATTTTGTCATATCGGGGTCTTTTATAGTTGACCATACGGTATGGGTTTTACTCATCATTGAACACTGTTGAATGCCGTGTGGTTATCTATTATAGTTGCTCAAATCCACGTCATTTGGGCGTCATAGTTTTATCATTGTTAATCATACAACATCTCCTTATTTTAGATAGTACAAAAAACCTAATGAACCATCATCTACATTGCTGGTTTATGATGCACTGGGTCTTATTTTTTAAACAATTACATCGTGAACGAGTCAGTCGAAAGTAATTTCGTGAAAATATTTGAATAAATATCACTTTGAACATGTGTATTAAAACAATTTGGATACTAAATTAAGTGCTAATGCATTAATGAATGATATTTTACTATTTAGTTTTCATAACATAGCATACGAATCATTTCAGACCACACTTACTCCTTTTATACACTTAAAGATAACTAATATAAATTCAAATTTCTTCAATGCTTTAGATTTGTGAATATTACTTACAATTATTTTCAGGATATACGTTCAAAGATATTAACCTTTTAAACATTTACGTTTTTTTTATACATTTCTCAATTCAAATGTAATGCGCATCTAGTGCAGAAAAATTCGTACCGTTAATGTTAAAATGTTAACAATCCACAACGAACCTATCGTATTTGGACCCGACTTTCGATAAAAAAAAATACGAGTGCAGTTCGTCACATGAAACACTCAAAACTGTAATGTTAACTCACCTCATCACCAACAGAAAAAGTCAAACAGGCGAACAACAGTTTGCAAAACACAACTCAAGAAATGAAGATTGAGCATAGAGCACCACGAACACCACCGGAAACCGGATTTAAACTCAAACAATGATGTAACAACAAGAAGCATGCGTATTTCTACATGGAGCACTGTGATCTATTTGTTATGTACATAGTATCTGGACATTATAATTAGATTTATATTTTGTTTATTGTAAATTGAATTATTAAAGAATGTTCCTCTTGTTTCAGCTTGTGATTGTCATCCTGTCGGAGCTCTTGGAAAAACGTGCAACCAGACATCCGGGCAATGTCCATGTAAAGATGGTGTAACAGGTCTTACTTGTAACCGTTGTGCAAATGGCTACCAACAGAGCAATTCACCTATCGCCCCTTGTATAAGTGAGTACATCGTACTTTGTGTGTTCTGTGTGTTGTATGAGTTTCGTGTTTTATGTCAGAGTTTTGTGTTCTTAAAATCAGTTATTTCAATTATTTCATTTTTACTTGTTATTTCAGACGGAACAGCAGTGAAGAAAGGAAAGGGGAAAAAAGGAGATAAGAGTTAGTGTTCAATGCGCATGAGCGATTTTCGGTTTTAGTGTTTAAAGTTATTGCGCATGTGCGCTTTTGACATTTCTTGTTCTTGCTTGTTGGGACTCTGGCGCATGGATATACTCTGACAAGTTTTTATCAGATTTTCTGATTTATCCAAGAGTTTAGCTTAGTTGAGCATGGTTGAATTCTTTGGCCACTTCTTGCACCTCTTTGGAAGCGTCTATTTATTGACATGAAGTTATAATGCTGATTGTTTTCTCTGTGCTTGTGCAAAACTTTTAACTACTACTCAATTTATACTTAACAAGCTACACATTTTAACCAGAGATATTTAACACTTTCCAAAAATAGCTTTTTTTTTCCTGATATAAATATTACCTTTTTTTCACTAATCGATAACTGATGAAATATATAAATTGTCTTGAAAACAAAATGAAGCGCTTAGATTATAAAAACAAATTAGACATCAACGTAAAGATCATTTTTCTCACTGCCAATTTTCTAATAGTTTTGTGTCTTTGTGATTTGATGGCTTTATCATTAAACTCTTTATAGTTTCAAAGATACATACGGTTTATCAATTTAGAAAGTTATAATTGCACAAGTGAATCGGCCAGCACTTGTTTTGATGTTGGTTTTGAGCATGATCTTGAACATTGTATAGCGGGAGATCAGAAATGATGCACGCAACATTTACTTCCAGGATGGTAAAACAGTTTTCTTCATAGATTGAAAATGCATGAAATTGTTGTTGCTTTTGCACTTTGAATATACGATGTACAGCTACATGAATTGAATATGCAAACTGACTATAGTTGAAACATGTATATACATTTGTCCTGGTCTCACGTAAATTTTTGCAGAAGAAATTCTAGGGCATAATTTGGAAATGAGTAAACACATGTTGAAAGAAAACATGTAATATTAATGCAAATACATTAGGAAATCTCTTTATTTTCCCAAAAATGTATGACACAAAATATGAAAATGCAATAATTTTGATTAAAAAACATAAACACATAATGCTTATTTAAACGAGAACAGCACGTAAGCAAAATAAATATATTGAAAAAAACATATCGGCTGACCATATCGTCTATGGTCAACTTTGAGTATTTATTTGTACTTACATTTTAAAGATGACAGTTATTTTCACCTCAAAAATAAGTTCTTAAAATTAACCGGTTTTTCTTTCATACAATCATGTAACAATCGAAGCTAGTAAGAAATTACATATATTTATCATGTACATCAGCAGTGCCAATACTATAAATTTATTCTAAGCGCGGACTAAAAAGGTGCGTGCGAGCGACGTTTTGTTTATTTCTTTTATTCATTACATAAACTTTCCAAAATGATGGATGGTTAAAACTGACGCATTGTTCTTATTATTTTTAAAATATATTTATTTTTTATATATTAAATCGGTTTTCACTCTTGCATGCTATTTTATATGACAGACCGCGACTACTTATATTTTAAATTTGCAAATTTTAAAAACATATGGTCAAATGTATTTGTTTGTCACCAAATTTGAGTCAATTGGTATTAGCAAAAATACATTATGTAAAAAAAGAACTGACGATCATGCTGGTGAGACAAGTAACCTAAATGGAAAAACTTTCTAAACATTTTATGCTTTTAATTCAATAGTTTATTTGTTATATTTAAGCACTAAATGAACGCAAAAACTAAACAGTGTCTTAAATGGCAAATTGCATTTCTAAATTCTTCACAGCATCTCTGTTTTCTTCTAATCGACATTTAGAAATTGTACTTTGTAGTTGCATAGTGCATCTTTGTCGATATTAATTATCGCTGAAACCACTTTTAAACAGCTGAACATCTTTAACATAACTGACAAATGTATCGTTACTTGTTGTGCTACAGAAAATGTTTCATACATTAACGTAAGCGATTAAATATTGCGTATCTGAAGCCACTTACGATAACGAAAAGTCACACTGAGATAATTATTGTTGAAGCTTTGTTTTATTTAGCACTAATAGTTCTGTTTGAACCTCTGAAGATTTTCAATGGGTTGGCACACTTGCACTTTTAAATAATTGCATCACTAACGTCAATTATTGGAAGTGTTTTCCATAAACATAAAATGTGGCTATACTTACCAATACATATATATTAATAAAACTTTTTTAATTCTCGTAAATGGTCCCGTTATATTCATGGATGTTTAGTTTGAATTGTACAGATGTTTCCTTTAAACCCTGTGACTTCATATACTATTGTACTTTGTTGAACTATCTAAACATTTTCCGTGGTTTACTTTTGTTATTCGCTGTGGTGTGAAAATAAAATTGTTCTATCGAAAAAGGAAATAATGAAGCCAGAAGGTTTTTTTTTCTTTATTAGATCATTCCACATCACATTTTCATTTTACATAGCTTGCATTTATATTCCTTTAGATAGACAAGCTTTGATGGGAGGTATCTGTTATAAATTGGTAACGAGATCACTAAAAAGGGAATAATTTTAAGACCATTAGTTTTATGAGTTCATATTCTATTGAAGTTTCGGCCAATAATTTCAATGAAAAGTTATCATTTCTTTGCATAAATATGGTTGAAATAATGCTTTCTTCATTTGATATTCGTTGAGCTAGATTTAGTTTTTGCTTGTTTTTGAGATTTGAAATAATTATTATAATGATGTTTTGAAACAATAATTAGCGTTACTGCTGTCGTTCTGAAATAAACAGTAATAATGTATGAAGACAGATAGGATAGGGATTAACTCTTTTTAAAGATCCAATAATATTGTTTATTGAACGTATACATTGACCCATTTGATACTAATAATCTTCAAACTCTGTTACAGAAATTCCAACAGTTACACAGAAGCCTCCTCGCAAAAATCCAAAGGGTAAGTACTCTATGGGAAAAGGCAGCGATTTATTTCGTCTGGTTCGATTTTGACGAGTTACTACATCAGTATTGCTTGAAGAAGATAGCTTTAGAAAAAGAGTAATTCAAAATGATATTTTCCCAAAACAACAATATGTCTTTGAACCTTATAAACTGTTAGCATAATTTTCGAACTAGATGCAATATAAAAATGAAGAAGAATCCGATGAAAGCCTCTAATTATGTAGTGGTGCATGCAAATTTATTATTTAATGAACGTTGCATGGAAATGAGAACACAGTATGTTAGAACAACTGTTACAAAGGAATGATTTTTCATTTCCAAATTTTCAATTTACTATAAATTATACCTATTCAAAAATACAATGACAATTACAAAGCTTTGGTAACTGAAATACAGTTCTCTCTCCTATGCACATTACAGCTCAAATAAAAACATTGACTTTATTCTTGCCAGCACATGTTTCCCGAAGAATAATTTACGTATACCACAAACATACTGACAATTCGTAAATAATTTTCGTTCTTATCATTGAAATTACCTGGATCATTGTATAATGAATTTACATCTTGCCATGAGTAATAATTCAGGGAAATAATAGTTTTATTAGTATTTCCCAGAAGACAGTAATTAGCCTATTGCACGTGAGAGTAACTTCCTTTCATTAAGGTTCTAGAGTGTCATTATTTTGATAAGTGTCACTAACTGCGTGATGTAGAAAGGTAGAAACAATAATTAGTGTTGCTATTGTCTATGAAAAGATTGTTATGTGATTGAATGGAGAAAGATCGGATAAGGGTAAACTCATTATGATGCCAAGCGTCTCTATGATTGATGGTTTCATGCTTTCAGGTGTTAAGGAACGTTTATTTATTTTGGTAAATATCCAGTTCTTTGAGCTCCTTTTCTGATCTACATCAATACAATTTCAATAATTGATTTCCCACAGACGATAGAAGAATTCCTATTACTTTTTGACAAAAACTTAAGAATTCTTCAACTTGCAAGAAATGTACTTCGAAAAACAATAGACTCATAGTAGTTATTTAAGTTCCTATCATTACTTAGAAAAAAAATAATCAAAGCAAATTTACTGGATAACTCAGAGATCGCAAATATGAAAACAAGAGATAAACCCCAAACATAGACTGACATGTAGATAAACCATAGTAAATATAACATGGTATCACATTTAAGTAATAAAAGCATACTGCTCAACGATTGGATCATTGTTTATGACATTTTATTTGTCTTGTATATCTAATCCTAGTATGGTTCCCGTTCTGGACTTTAAAGATTAAGTGTGCATATTCTTTTTAAACTTATTCTGTATAGTACTTGCGAGTCTGGACTTTTTTCTCAAATCGAGTTTGTTTTCATATATGTTTATTTGCAAAAATTTTAACAAGATAAGAGAATTTTGCACGACCTGCAGCTCGTGATGGAACTTTGATGAGTTAGAAAGGAATATTTTAGTATTCCAAATACTATTTAAACCCGTCACATGCTAATTTGAATGTCCCAAGTTAGGATTGTCTAGTTATTTTTAATGTCTTTGTGCTTTAGGCAAATTCGACGTAACGGCAGGTATTATGCAATATCGTCTAAATTTTTACAGCTTGTCTTGACTCGAAAATAGTCAGACACTTTTCAATTGTTGAAACCGCATGTTGACTTTGAAATCCCGTTTTATTATTTTATTGTTTTTTGAGGTTGGTGGGTTGCTTTATTCTCACTTTATATTCTTAAGAGTTATTCAGAAACCATTTTGTCTACATTTTATTTCAAATTTTAAGTTTTGAATTTAATAGGTGACAGGTGTGGAAAATGCAGGAAGAAACAAAGGAGAATTAACAACAAGAAATACTGCAGAGCAGATTTTGGTAAGTCTAATTACCAACTTTCACATACAATTAATTCAGCAGATCGGAACTGGAAGATGCAACGTACGCACCTGGTTCCTGATAATTAAACGAAATCTTCAAACCAGACAAACTTTTTCTTAAACTGGAGATGAAAGTATAATGAAATGATATAATGATTTACGTTAATAATGTCCATTAGGTAAATATATTTTGATGCTAGCATTCTGCAAATTGGTCTTATCATATTTAGAAAATAAAATATAAAGCCATTATATTTTTTCTTTCTTTCCTAATTTTCTTTAATTAAAAAGCTTTTTACATAATGATGTTCGTCATTACTCAATAACACACTCTCATATCAAAATGTTTCATTATACAACAATCTCAAAAAGGGTTATAAACATTAAAGAGAAAATGAAGAGAAGACAGTCATTTGTATATACATTCCATTGTAAAATAAGTGTATTTTCTATAAAACAAAACAAAAATTGGGTCATTCTGATGACGGAAATTTAACTGTCTATCGAATAAACATTTAGACTGTTTGTTTGTTACTCAAGTAAAGAATAAGTAACAGTTATATGTTAGAAATAAATTACATCTTTGGATAGAAGCGACATCTATATCATCGAAGTACCCACTACATTGAAAACTTTTTTTAAAACATAAGCCTTCACGCGTTTAGTAGATCAAATCGTTTCTCAGTTTTGTACCCTCTCTGTTTTGAATAAATATTTGATAGTTCCTTTCAAAATTTTGAATTCCATAACACATATGCTGTAGCGTATAACGAATTTACCACTGACATGGTACAGACTTTGCTTTATTTCAACATGCCAAGAAACTTTTTGTATATTTTATGCCTGTTGTCAGTTCATTGATTGGTACATGCAAATCAGTTTATAAAATCTATCTTTATTTTGACAGCTAGATGATTTACTATGAAACGTTTAGAAACAGAAGTGTAAGCTTGGTTGACCTAGCTTATATCTGACTTTTAAGATATATTTGTTGATTTGAATATCATTCATTTTATTTTACGATAAGTTTTAAAAACAAGAAGTCGAATTGATTACAAATAATCGTGCAAGTTGCAGAATGAAATAACAGTCCTTCTCCAATTTATTTATATTGCTGTGTTCAGTGATAGGCAGTGAGGGCATCATAAGCTCAGTTGTCAGCGCTCTAGGACTGGCACGATTTATATTGCTGTGTTCAGTGATAGGCAGTGAGGGCATCATCAGCTCAGTTGTCAGCGCTCTAGAACTGGCACGATTTATAACATACTTATTTAAAATATCCTATTGACCAATTTTAAAATATTAAGAAACTAAGGCTCCAACTCCCTCAGGCAAAGTTGACCTGATATGAATTTGGCCTTGCTTAATAGGTCCCTTTTGGATCATATCGTGCCTAAAGTTTCTACATATTTGTACATTCCTAGCCTTCAAATGCTTAGGTTTGAGCGTTCCTGTTGACGTTAAATATAGAAAAGCTCTTCGGACGCACAACATTTATAAAGTGATATTTTCACTTTCAATCATTTAGTGGCTTGCAGTTAGAATCATTTATTAAGAACACAAAACGATACAAATGTTCTTGTGCTCGACGCGCGATTCTAATGTTGCCAACATTAGATACGCTCGAGACCGAAAGTTTGAAAAAAAAGAAAAGAATTTAGAGCATAAAACCAGAATTGCTTAAATAGAATAAGCAAACCCGTATAAGGTCAAATTTGCCGGCAGTTTCAACCTTATTTTAGTACATTTATATATTATTTACATAAAGGCCCTCAACCTCGATATCTGTTTCCGCCGATAGTTTATAAAAAAATTTAAGGCTTCTCTGTTAATTTGTATTCTCTAGCTCTTTTGATTACATTAAAGAGAACGTCTTTTTTTCTTTAGAACTTAAAGTATTTGAATTTTTGTATTTACAGCAATCCAGGCGGCTGTTGTTGCCAAAGAATCAATCGCAGACTGGATTAGATACACTATCAACATTATTAGTATATATAAACGCGATCAAAATCAGAATAGAAGGGGCGAGACCTATGTCTTTGTTGCAAAACGAGACCACAAGTGCAAGTGTCCAAAGCTTCGACTTGGTAGACGATATTTGTTGGTTGGTAGACATCACAAAAATATACAGCGACCTGGATATCAAGTAGACCGAAAGACTGTCGTGATAAGATGGCGAGACAAATTTCAAAAGCGCATGCGTAAATTTATGCAGTATGAACGCAGATATAAATGCGGAAATGCTTCACGAAAGAAACGCCATTAATTTTACGATGTTTGTTTGTGTCCAGTGCTATGTTGACGAGAACTAACTTTGATTTTGTGAAATCACAAACATATCATGTAGAATACTCATTTTTAGTACCTCGTGTTTGAAATTGTTGGATGATTAATGTATGTTTACCCTGAAAACTTGTGTTGATAGGAATTTACTGTTACATAATAGCTTTAATATGTCTTATGTAATTAAGTTATTTGTTCTTGAAGAAAATAGAAGAAACAAAGTGATGATTTACTCGTGTCAGTGCAGAAAGTGAAAACATTAGTAATAATTTAAAGTGTGAAAAGAATTTAATGGCGTGTCGATGTTATGTACAGCTAAATGCCTGAATTTGTTGAAATAAGCAACAGTGACGTCATTGACATTTCATATGGCATCATGGACATTAATAAGTTCAGGAGTTGTCACACACATGCCACTCTAGAGTGTTGTTTATAAGTTGACTTAAAGCACAAGTTCCATTTCGTATAGAACAGTTGACAGTGTTATTATTGTAAGGTTGTGTGTGTAATGATATAAACATTATTAAGTGCGAAGGAGCACAATGTTATATCATTGGAAAGCCCTTTTCTAATGGTTGTTTCAGAATGTATATATGTACAAGTTGTCAGTTGTTATGTTGTATTTGTTGTAAATTTCAATTGTGATATATTTTATTGTTATTATTTTTGTAAGAATATTTTTATCACATTTTAAAATCAGCTAAATAATGATTCTCATATTCGTGTAAGTATGTATAACAGTTTTTTACATTATATAACTCTAGGGTTTTTGCAAGGGACTTTCTCAGTTTGTTGCTTTTTCTAACGTAAATTCCTAAGAAGAGTGTACATTTAACCATTATACTTTAATATTATTTCAAGTTTTTGATTTGACTTACAAGTTATCAACATTCGATTGAAAGTTTGGTGAAGTCATTATTGCCACTACAAATAAACTGAGGTCATGATTTAGTGTTTTCACAGAAATAAAGGTTCATTAAAAACTTGAAGTTGTCTCTAAAGGATGACAGTTGCTATTCCCGATCTTATATAGAAACCAACCACTAGACTAAATAAACTGATTTTGTTCAAAGTTTGGCTGGATTTACTATCCAGTCATGTAAACGGATAATGTAAACTTTAAAAAAAGTGACTATCAAGAAAAGCAAAAGTCCAAAATCATATACATAAAAAATTATAACAGAATAAGTCACAAGAAAAATATTTGTTACAACTTTGTTTTGTTTCAACAAACACTATCATAATATAAAGAAATCCACGTCATATATTTTATTTCTTTCATTTTTAGTATAGCTTTAATTTATCATCATTTTAATTCCATTCTATGACGTAAAACTGTGGGTTTTTTTTTGGCTACAAACTGTACATATTTGTAAGTAGTCGTACTTTAAGCCGTGATATATCGGCTTTGCAATAGAAAAATACACGGCCAGTTAGTAGAATTACTATTTCAAACGATTTGTGATAAATAATGCAATGTATTTGAAATACAACTTACGTACATAAGTGTACTTTATATTTTACTGGTCAAACTAACTCCTACAAAAAGTTATGAAAACGGATAAGCAGACGAAAGTAAAGAAATTCTAATTAATTCAAATAGAGAAAACCTTAATTTAGGTCAACATATCAATTGATAAATAAAGTTGCATCATTTGACGTCAAAATTTCTTCTTCTGAATAGGAAGAAGTCGGTAGAGTTTACATAGCCAAATATTTTATTTCAAACAAGGACATTAAGCATTGTTTTATGATAATTGTATGATATTCGAAAGAAACTATTCAAGTCAATAGTTTGAGAACAAGGCGGAAGTATTATGATATTTTCCTCCTTTTTAACTGTTATACATTTTATGTTTACGTTTTGAAATAATTGGTTATGTTTCATTGTTTCAAAATGGAGAAAAAAATGTTAATAAATGAGTAACCTTTCGTAACTTTAGTTCTTTCTAAGGTGCGTCCATATTTACACCAAGATGTCATTAAATGAAATTGGATACCCTGTACTTATCATGCTTTTCAATAACATATGATCAAATCGCTGAAAGACCCCTCTCCTAAATTATTGAAAACTATCCTTCTGCATTGACCATTATATCTTGGTGAAAATTATATACACCCATTCGGGCTAACGCCCCCAAGGTTTATCTAATACTTATATTGTTGCTAAGAGAGATTCGGCTAACCTAATTGAACATTTCTTCGTGATCTGATACATGGGACAGACTTTCATAAACATATCTATATTTATTTATAATATTGTCGAAGCAAGCGTTAACTTTTACATAGTTAACAATACACAAATCTACAGAAATTAATTGCTGTAACATTATAACCCAACAATTTAATATGCCAGTTGTTTTCCACTCGTTCCTTTGTTTGATAATGTTTGATTTTGTCTTTGTCAGTTTTTGTGGACTACCCCTTTTTGAATTACCTTGGAGTTCGGTATTTTTGTTATAATATTTCCCCCCTATATATTCAACCAAAACATTACAAATTGTTTAGCTCTAAAAAGTATTTTACCTTAATTTTAACCTGATGAAAACCATATATGTCCTGAATTATACTTAATCATCTTTCTACATGCCAATTTGACTAAAATTCCCATGTTGGATTACTGAAAATCTTAATTAGCATCCCATTAAGCACATCTACCCTAAAATTGTGATGCAAGTTCATGTACAAGGAAATTTTGGCTCAAAATGTTGAAAATATATTTCTCAATCAGAAAAAGTTACATTTATGTAAATTCATCTGCTAGTTTAAGTAAACAACAACATCAAAAGCACTAATTTTGGGTCAGAGTAGGGCTACTTTTCTAAATGTGGACGGGTGAATTGATGGTATAACACCTATATCTTGCAGTGTACGTAAAGAAGTCGGAAATACTTGTTGAACGATTTTACAACACTTAAAGTCTAATAATTCTAGTTTCAAAACATCGATTAAACACACACACGATTTATAAATATCAAAAACGGTCATACAATCCGGGCGCATTTATATAGTAATAGCAACTTATAAGCCCGGATATCTTTAATGAGTATTTTTAAATTCATATTCATAAAAATAAGGAGATGAGGTATGATTGCCATTGAGACAACTATCCACAAAAGTTCAAATAAAGTCGATGTAAGCAATTATAGGCAACCATACGGCCTTCAACAATGAGTAAAACCCCATTACGTATAGTCGGGTATAAAAGGCCCCGACATGAAAATATGAAAAAAATCGATTGAGAAAACTAACTGACTAATTTATAGCAAAACAATTTACGAAAAACAAATATGACAGACATGAACCAACGACAACCACTGAACTACAGGCTCCTACCAAAACATTACACTAGGAATAGTTTTAACAGTTAAAGTATAACTCATCAATGGTACCAGGCGTTTAAATTTGTACGCGAAACGCATTTCGTCTATATTAGACTCATATCGAAACAGTTAGAAGGTTAAATCGAAAACGAAGTTGAAGAGAATTATAAACTGAAAATTCCGAAACTTTGTGCCAAATACGGCTAGGGGGTAGACAAACTTTATTGTTTCGAAAAGTTCAACATTTCATACACACACAGTAAATGTACAGAAAAATGAACATAACAATGATACTCATATCAACACAAAAGTGCTGGCTACTAGACTGGTGATACCCTTGGGGCTCATATTTAGTATAAAGAGAACAATCAAATCATTGGCATTATGTATCAATGTATTTTCTTCTTGATAGGATACTTTAAGTTTACGTTTTTTCCTAAATTTTGTAAATAGAAGAATCAACTAACCTAGTTTCACATTCTATCAAGTCCAGGCCTGTTGTAGATTACTTTGTGGTATTGGTTTTGATATTGTTTCAAAGCCTTACTGTGACATATAGTTGTCATGTTGACAATCATACCACATCTAATTGTTTTCATAATGTAGTAAAAGTTGCTGGCAGTTAGTTCTAAGTGTTGCATAAAATTATATGGTTGCTATAAACACAAAAAGACAGTAATGTTGGCGAGTGGTCTTTCTCCGTTTGGATTCACGCGATTTCCTCAGTTTTTTTTTTCAAATCGTGGTTTGTATTTACAAAATAGATTTACGAGATTTTAACAACCGTATACTAATATTGTTGCCCTTTTTTATTTAACGTTACGGACTTATTATCTAACAAAAGATCAAAAAAGGTACTCGATTGACCATAACAACGTATCATTGTTTAAATATCACAAATCGCGCAAAGTTATGAGCAGAATTTATTTTCTAAACTCTCGAGTGTTGGTTGAATTGTGTATATATGACACCAAATCAAAAGACAGACTATTTCGGATTAGTTCGAGACTGTGTGTAAAGGCTGTTGTTGAAACAAAAATTCTGGAAATCAATTTTAATTTCTGTCAGAGCAGAAAATCATGTCATGTATTTTTCGATCGCGACACCGCATGCAATTCTATGTAATAGTATATTGTACGAAAAGTTAACCAGGTCATTGTAACAAAGTTGCGACAATGTTCACAAATAACAATTGTTTAACACATTTTAAATATTTTTCGTCGGTCACTTTTTGAAAACAACAAATCTGAACAACGGATTAAATTCATCGCTGTTAATATAGATATATACTTTGATGGTCTATCAAAAGGACTTGAATGTAAATACAGATACAGAGCTGAATTAGAAAGGAATATCATACAGTTAATAGATATATGTATATTTAATTAAACAAAACATATTTTTAAGCAGTAGTTATTCGTCTAAAAGAGGGCCAAACATACCAAAGGAATATTCAAACTTATAAGTCGATAACAAACTAACAACTTCATGGCAAAAGAAACAAAACACAAAATAAAAAACAAGACTCAGCAACACGAACCCCACCAAAAGGGGGGGATGATCTCATGGTCTCCTGAAGGGTAAACAGATCTTGCTCCACACGTCGCACCGTGTTAACATTGCTCATCAAAAAGTATTCATTCGGTGATGTCACGTTTGAGAGAAAGAGTATAGAATTGTGATAATAACAACTGAAACATTTCCGTCGTCATCTGTAAAACAGATATTCTATTACAGTCAGCCAACTCGTGATGGCTGGCGTCCGTAAGATTTTTCGAAGGGATGACTTCAACTTTACCACTTAGAAACCTAATTTTACAACTTCTTTGGAAGCACTCTATCAAGGAATTAATATCAGCAAACGCAATCTCAAAATGCCGTATCACCTGGGAATCATATGCGTCATATGTAAGCGCTGTTGGGAAGCTGAAATCCTATCTTTTGTCGTAAAGTTTTGTTAATAACCTACTCTCATTGTCAATTTCTAGATGTTAGTCAAGATATGCAACAGACTTAACTGTATATGGGGTATCTTTTTTCTAGTTCGATGGAAGAGATGCTTTCAACATAGTCACCAAACTTTGAATTATTAGGGACAGGAAATCTTCTTTATAGCGGAACGTGAAATTTCATGATAATGCTAACTTCTTTTCTTTCTTCCTTAGAAGTTTCCGAATGAAGTCTGACACATATGAATAAAGGAGCAAGTCGACAAGAAGGGGGTCACAGTTGGTTCCCATAGGAACGCCGATTGATTGTTGAAAAACACGTCCTACAAAAATAACAAATGTGTTATCAATCTTGAAATCAAGGATTTTGATAATGTTAGTGCCAGAAAATTCAGAATCAGAGTGGTTTTTTTTTCAAAGTATGACTCATCCCTCAAAATATTTTACAATACTACAAAATGAAACATACATTGAGTGTATGTACTCTAACAGACCCATAACTGATTCGCCCCGCCACAAGAGTAGGTAGTTTCACAATCACTGTGAAGCCTAACTTTGATTGCTGTTTAAATGGATGTTATAGGTTAAACAGAGATTTCGCGGAGTGCTTGGCAGAACCAGCAATATAACGTTGTTTGTATTAACACTTATGTTACATAGGTATTAAATGCATTGAAGGAAGATCCAGTTCTGCATCTTTAGTTTAAATTCCAAAGGAACATAGAACAGACCTTTGATTATTCAGGATTTCTTCTGTAGAAAGTGTTGTGGGAGTATATGATTTTGAGTTTCCAAGTGAATTGCCAATACCTTATTCCTTTATCAAGTAGTTTATGTTATATGATTTACTCACAAAAAACGATGTTGTTTGTGACTTTATGTTCAAAATGAAGGTAACACAGGCGCTGTATTTGGGTGTTTGAAGATCGATGTAGCATGATTGTTCATAGACCTAATCAGTTTTAATTTGTGTCAACAACCTCACTTCAAATGTTCTTTTGAAGAGAACTTAAAACATTGTCTTTTTGTTAGAGTAATAGCTCCGTGATCGGTTGTCAGTGTTTTTACCCTTTCAAGAAGCCCATAGCAGTGGATGCTTTATAATCTTTCCACCAAGCAAAGCATCAAACAAAATTGTATTCATACGCAAAAAAATAAATTATTTAGACTGTCTCACTGAAGAACTTGGAATTTTTTGCGAAACTGGGAATCTCACATATACTTCTAATTCGTTCACGAGAGAAGATATTTTAGAAAATCACAAATCCTTCCTTTCTTCCTCTTGCATTAACTTAAAAAAGGACGATGAAAATATATCATATTTATACTGGATACCAAAAATCCGAATAAAGAACGATATATAGCCGGGTCAACAGGATGTTCGAATACAAATCTTTCTAAAGTTCCTACCATCATTCCTCCTACACTAAAAAGATAACCGTCAGTAATATTGTAATGAGGTATATATTCACAATGTTCAACCAGCTGTGTCGATCAGATGTGAATTCTTCAAAATTCTAAAGATCTACTTCAAAATCTGCAGCCAGAATCTTTACATTCTTTTAGTAGTATCAAAACTTTGGATATTTCTACCCTTTAGTACTTTTTCCCATGTTCAATTGATAGATGTACTACATCGTCTAATCAACAAGATTTTCTACAAAAAATGAGAAACGAAGATACAAACTCCTCATTTTGGGTTATGAAAACCCTTTTTTTTTGTGAAGAACCACACTGATTCTAAAACAAATACACCAAAGACGATATTTTCAAAATGCTGGAATTTTTATTCAACAACATATTTGTTGAGTTTAGTGGATTCATATTTCAGCAGTCGGTATTAAGTGGGTACTAATTGTGCACCACTACTGACTGTCATATGAAGCAGAATTCATACATTACCTTCTCAAAGACTAAAAGACAACGCATCTTACAATGTTCTTTAACTTCTCTTTCATATATATTGATGGTGTTTCGTCACTTAATAACCCACAATGAGTGCCTACATCTCATATATCCTAGTAAACTTGTGATTGAGGATACTACCGAAATTAAAATGTCTAATTTATATGTTGATGTTTTCCTAGATATTGACACAGATGACCGACTTCAAACTAGAATCTTTAACAAGCGTGATGAATTTAACTTTCTAATTGTCAACTTCCCATTTCTCAGCAGTAACATACCATCTGCTCCATCTCAAAGCGTTTACATATCTCAGCATGTTCACACTATACGCACTTCTTTAACAGGGGTGTGCTCCTTACGCATAAACTGTAGATCGATGTAGCATTTTGCAGTTTTTGATACATTTATGCTAGTCTTTTCTCATGTATCCTGGCTATATATAAGAGTATTTTTTTAACTATCGAAACAATTTGCTGTTACTTTTTTGAAGGATGTTTCAAAGATATCCTTTCGAAAAATGTAAGATCTGCTGTTTTAAACACGTAATGATTAGTAGGTCACTTTTTATGGGAGGAGTTGGTATCAATTGGTAAATAATAACATCCCCGATACCAATTTTACTGCACAAGATGCACATTTCGACAATTAGCATCTCTCCAGTGATGTTCGTTTCCAACATAGTTGAAAATCCAGAACAAAATACAAACGTTGAAGAACTGATGCAATCGAAAAGAACTAAGATAATTGACAAATCTGGATAGAATCAAAGCTATGCATTTTGAATATATATACTTTAACTTAAATGATGAGGTTCTTGTTTTGTGTAATTCTGTTATTTGTCGTAATATTTTTGTTACGGGAGAGCGTAGAGGAGAAGTATAATGCTATCCACTTTAAACTTTATTGGTCTCAAAATTTACTCTAGTATTATTTTCTTCACATAAAAAGGGGAGAAGAAACCAAGAGGATAATCAAAAGCCATTATTAAAAGAAAGACAAACAACACCATGTGTGTGAAACACGACGAAAAGACATACAATAGTTCACAAAACACTACACAGACTAGTAAAAATTGAGCAACACAAACCCTAGCAAAAACGGGGATGAACTATGGTGCTAGGCAAATTGTACAGCTCCTCCTCCACTAGTAACACTCGTCACGTTGATTATAGAAAGAAACAAAATCACGATCTATCGCATTCGTTGATATCGTAATCGATGACAGAGAAGGGATTGTAGCTAAAACAAGTTCAACATAATCATGGTCATCAGTAACAAAGATATCCTATAAGGTCCACCAAATTAAGTTACATCCATAAAATTTTCGAAGATATAATTTTAACCCCTATGGTTATTAAAACTCTTGGATCAAAACTTGCTACAAGTAGTAACCCTCTATCAAGGAAATCGTTATAGGAAATCAAAGTCTTTGGGTATTGTATTAACTAAGGTTTTTACTAAGTATGCAGCTGCTCCTGGATTTTTTTTTACGTAGTTGAATCTTTAGAATGGGAAAATTAAAATCATTACCTTTGTTGTAATGTTTGGTTCTCAATCTACCCTCGCTATTAATTTATAGATATCTAATAATTAAAAGTAAAAGAAGATCATTTTTTCTCACGACGGGTGCCACATGTGGAGCAGCATCTGCTTACCCTACCAGAGAAACTGATATCACTTCCGGTTTTTGGTGGAGTTCGTGTTGCTCAGTTTTCATTTTTCTATGTTGTGTTTCGTATACTGTTGTTGATCTTTTGTTTATTCTTTTATTCTTTTGTCGTTTTTGCCATTCTGTTGTCAGTTTATTTTCGAATTATGAGTTTAAAGAACCCTTTGGTATCTTTTGCCTCTCTTCTTAAATGAACAGAAAAGTTAAATCGTAATGATTCATTCTTTACCTTCTACTTCATAGACACCTATGGATTGTATGGATTGAATAAAGGATCAAGTTGGCGAGAGAAAGTATAGGGCTAGTATTGCCGACTGTTATAAAACATAACAATTCCTAATAAAAAATCATTTTAATAATCACAGTTTTGGAGATATTTTGTTTGAATCAGCGTAGATTTTAAATTACACAATCTGCCCTTTCCTAGACCTGAATTAGAGGCAACGTTAGTTTACCGATGTGTAAATATGTTAAATCCATTTGGAATATACAGATCAAAAGGAATCGTTTATACTTCAAACGGAGCAAGACCGTGAGTGTCGACAGGGTAAGCATCATATTCTATGAATGCTTTAAACGCCATGCAAACCCACTCAATCAAAATGTCACGATAAGGAACAAGACACACTCCCTAAATTTACATGACTAATCTGGTATCTAAAGATGTAAGACTGCTTGTGTGTTAAGACAACCAATTGGTGATGAACTTATGTAGTGTCTATTTTCAAATTGGTTTCCTTATAACCCTGCTCTGGCATTTTTGCGTTAGGAACACGGCCCTGTCAATGATGGGATGCCTGTTGTTGAATGTTTAGTTTTCTGTAATGTTTTGTTATTGTTGTTTTTCTTAATATCGTCATTTTGTTTTTGACTTATAATTTTTATTGAGATATGTAAACGCCATACGATAGTATAGGACAAACCAGATATAGGTTTCTTCGGTGATCATTCGTTTTATGAAACTTGAACTATTTGTTTTTTTTCAATCTGTTTTCCCCGTTTCAAATGAGGAATACTTGTAAAATGAGTAGGAAAATCAACAATGTTTACACTTAAGCATGACGAGAAGTACATCGGATGTCTGTACTATATGTGACAAAATGTAGTAGAGTACTTTCTGGTTACCATTTATCTGCCTTTATTTTCAGATAAAAATTAGGCCTAATGGATTAACATTTCAATCATCAATGAGATGTAATGTTTAAACAAATTGGTAGGTTCACAAAAAATATCTTTGGATTTAAAAATTTGATTTATCATTTTAAAGACGTATTATTCATAGTCAGAAGAACATTAGAAGATGCAAAATTTTTATAAAAAGACATATATCACTATGAACAGAACAAAGAATTCGGAATGGCAACAACAGTAAAAAAAAAATACCACCTAAAACCTTATGATTGATCACAATATATTGAGTCTTGAAACACTAAATTTTTCAATACTCCGATTAATGAAGCAAAGACTATTAAGTCATCGGTTTGTGCGTTCGTGCATTCGTTCTACCATTCGTACGTGCATTCTGTTAACCATTGTGCCCTAAAATAATAAAAATTGTCATTTAGTTTGTATTTCTGTTCTATTTTTTTAATTGTTATCTGCGCCACGAATTTTATTTATATTTTTGCTAGGATCTTCTTATAGTTTGCAATTGATATGGTACATGGTATAGCTAGTGTTACGAAGAGCAAAATCATTTTTCAGTTTGATTTAATTGTAGGAGGAATAGATGATATGATATGATATGAAATGATATGATCATTTTTCAACAATTATACGTGGGTAGCATGCCGATTATTTCCTCATTAACTATTTGTTGTATACGTCATGATTTCAACGTGTGAAATTATATCTACCAGAAGTTTCCTATAAACATCTGAGTTCCATATTTTATCCCTCCTGATAATAATGTTTGCACTTATAGTAATAGCTTGTGTAGGTTTCTCATGTGCCAATTCTGCTAATTAAATAATCTCCAGATTACCATATGTCAATGAAAAAGCATGATAAAAACACTTAAACTCTTGAAATAATTATCTGAACATTACGGAAAACATAATTTCAGGAACAATATAGAAAATTGATTTATGTTTGGTTGGGTTTTCTTCTTCAGTACAGCAAAATATCTCATAGCTCAGATTTATTTTGAAACACGTTTTTATGGTGACCGTGCTACTTGAAATCATTGAATTATACCAAGTTTAACTCTGCCCTTTCTTGATTACTTAAGCATGCACCCTTTAGCAGAATATGTACAAGAGCTATTGGATAAGAAAAGTATTTTGTTCAATATTCTATTTTTAGTTTCCAATAAGATAAACAATATTCAATAGCTGACTCAGTTATCAATATTGGAATTATCACAAAATAACACATCTACTGGAAGTAAAGTTTATCCAGTCGTTGTATAAAATCTCACTACTTCGAAGGCATGATCTGTCTTTCCCTATTAGTGCTTCTCTATAAGGACTGACCACATATAATTCTATCATGGGAACCTAATGATGACTACCATTGATAATATTCTTTAACTTTCCTTTCGATACAGGCTACTTTTTCTATTCCTATATAAGTGGTTAACGTGACTGCATAATTAAAATGCTAGAACACTTTAAAAGGAAAGGGAAATAAATCTCCATTCTAACTGTTATCAGCACTGTGCATGATTGTATGACAATTCAAAGCAAAAATAAATCTATTTCATTCATGCCATTAACACGTTGTAGATCAAGACAAAATATTCAAACGTTTCGTGAGATGTGAAAAATAGACATACCTCCTGGCTACAGCATTTTCCATTTTGCAACTCTTTGATCATCTACTATGTCGTCATCAATACTCCAAAATGCAATGTCAAACTATTAGAAAAAGTTGTTACACCGATAAAGAATATGCACTGTACAAATGATAGTTCGTCATACAAACGATCATTGACATTGACCTGAGAGATGTTTGTTCGCCATGACTCTATACATGACCTGGAAATACAAAGAGTGCCAGTCTTGGATCATAATCCTTAAATGTAAAAACTGAAGAGTTCACATTTCTTCAGACTGCACTTTGTTGACATCGTATTTGTTATGTAGCACAGTTTATATCGGCCGAACATTTAGATACGAGCGTTCCTTACAAAGATATGTAGTAAGATAAAGCGTTTTATGTCAAACTTTGGTTAAGATTTCGTTTTTTTATTAAGTTTATATGTTTAAACTTCGTTTGTTTTTGGCAGTATTTTTACTTTTGGATGTTTTCATTTTTTTTCTCTTAAAAAAGAAATATAACAGAATAGCAATCAAGATTGTGATCAAGAAATCACAGAGAATATGATCATTAAAGAATCATTAATCTTGTGCACAAAGTTTTTGTAAACTGAGATTCACATAGTACTTGTCAGAGTGTTGGTGGGATGTCTGGTATCAATAATCCATTTTATACAACACCTGGAAGTTGTTGAATTTTAGCAATATCTTCGCTTTGATGTTTCAATGTTATGTTTTAAGTGCTGTAAGTGGTGAGAAATTGGTATATTTATTTGTTTTTATTAGATAGTATGACAAGCATTGTTATAAATCTTTCTTAGAACATAATAAATCTGTAAATATGTGTTGGGCTTTATGATAGTTTAAAAGATTCCGCTAAATTGATAGGGATTGTGTAAGTGGGGGAAATGGAAAGACTAATATGCGGTTAGTCTGTTTTGGCTCATATGTCTATAGCTCTCTCCTTAAAACAATGACTCAAAAATGTTGAAATTTAACACATTAAATTTTAATTAAGAGATATACAGAATACGTTTTTGACGGACACTGTTGTAAGCAGGAGTTTATGCAGTACGATTGGTAACCGAATCACCTTGTCTGGTATGTATGGAGTGTTTAGAAAAACCATGATACCATGCCAAGATAAATGTACCGGTCTCGACAGTTATACCCATTTCTTAGTTTTAAACTTAAATAAACTGGTAACTCGATGATATTTTAAAATGCATATTGTTTTTGAAATATAAATGGTTAAAGTGTGAAGGGATAGAAGTAAAGGCAGTAATGTTTTCGATAAGAATGCAGACTGTTCTTTTTTTTTTTGGCATACTGGTTCAAACTATTAAAAAACCATGGTATCTTTGAAGAATTTATGTTCAACACTGGGTTAATGCCACTGGATGTTTCGTTCCTGCAGGGTATCCCCAGCCCAGTAGTTTCTGTTCGTGTGCTGACATGTAATGTTATTAATTGATACAGTCGTTGTCTGTATGTTTACTGATAAAATGTTAAATCATTTAAAACACTTAAGTATTTCTACTTCCAGAAAGAGATCGCCTTAGTCAAACTGGATATAACTTTGAAAATGTTTTCAGTTATCACTGCTCTTCAACTTTGTAACTGAGATGGTTCTAGCGCCACTGATGAGTCCTATGTAGACGAAACCAGCGTCTGATGTTCCTTAATACAGCTTGGTATTTTTATGAGTTTTTTTCATTCATGTTTTATATATCCAATTTATTATATTGATTTCAAATAATTCTCTTGTTTGACTATTATTTCTGTTAATTTTGTTCACACATTGTTGTCAATATAATTGAATTTGATGCGACTATCATACAAGTGAGAGGCTTAGCTAGCTATAAAACCATAAGAAAATGCCTGTACCAAGTCATGAATATGACAGATGTTTTCCATTCGTTTGATGTGATTGAGCTTTTGATTTTGCCATTCGATAAGGAACTTTCCGTTTTGAATTTTCCTTTGAGTTCGGTATTTTTGTTATTTTACTTTTGACTCTGAAGGCAATGTTACATGTACACGATGATACAAATTACATGATAAAGGATAGGGATATAATCAATGATGTGTATACAATGCTTTAATCCGCAAATTTTCACTTATGTTCAGAGTAAATATTATACAATTATTGTCTTTTGATGAGGTAAATATGTGGTTTTATTGACTTTTGAAAAACTGATATTCAGAGAGGCCAACGGCCGAAGTGAATATCATTTTTCCAAAGGTCAATTAAACAACATATTTACCGAAACAAAAGACAGTCGCAGGTGAATAAACTGTTTTATTCAAAATCCAATTCATATAGAAAAACCTACTAAAATTCAATCAATATGGAATAAATTCTATTATGTAATACAAGTTACTTGTAATTTGTTTTATCGATCCGATATCAGGACTAATGAAAGTCGGGATTACACTTTGAGCAAAAGCACATAGTAAATAATGATGTCTCAAGGAACAAGAACCAGGAATGCTAGATCGAAAACGGACAGTTGTAAGCTCTTCTTTATCTTTATTAACAGCTGTCAGTTCTACAAAAAAACAGCTCAATAACTACTCAAACAGAGTACTTATTGATTGATTGATGTTTGCTAAACGCCGCATCAGCACAAAAGGCTATATAGCGACGAATCAAAGTTTAGTTTAAATATATTGTATTTGCTTAAAAACACAAAATCATGGTTTCCTTGATTGTGGGTTGCTGCTTACAAGGAAGCTATTTTACCAAGTGTTCCAATTGGTGAAGTTGAAATTATCCCTTCGAAAAGTTTACAGACGCCATGGCGAGTTGGTTGACCGTTATGTAATATCCTTTTCACAGATGACAACGGATATGTTCCAATTGTCGTAACCAAAATCCCGTCCTCTTTTCCTCGAATGTGACATACCGAATCGAAAGGCGTTTTGAAACAGTCCAATGTAAGAACAGAAAATGTAAATATTCTAAAATAACAGAAACTCGTGAATTTTTAAAATTTATAGGTAATAACTTATACAATTTCATTAAAATTATGGGTGACTTTCAAGCACAATTTTACCATAATACACCAATCATTGCGTCATAAGAAAATAGGTATGACCAAGTTCTTGTGTATTTTTTTTTTAACTCGCAGGGTCGAAATCAAATATTCAAACATACTGCATCGTAAATAAATGAGAATCTGAATAATACACTTTATGAATAAATCTGTTTCATAAGAAAATTAAGCATGCAAACCGTGTAAATTTTCCTTGTAGACACTAAATACATTGTACTTGCAGAAATATACCAAAATTACAGTTTGTAGCGACTTTTTACTATTTTCAATTGGGTTATATCCTCATAATTACGCCCTAGTATATAATGATTAAAACTATCTACAGCTATGGTCATTTATTGAACAATAATTGTCTCTGAATTTTGTGTTCAGAAATACGCAATATAAGGTTACTAAATAAAGATTAATTTTAATTTAAGTTAATATTTAACATCTTTTGAATATCTATTACCCTGGTGTGAAATAAATTCCGATGAATTCATGTATTTTTCTTATTAACAACCGAATTAGAAGACCGCATATAAATATAACAAAACACAATTATTTGATGAATGAATACGTTTTGCTGAAAGATGAAATCGTCACATAGACGTCATGAAAAAACATTAAAATATTTTCTAAATTTTGTGTAAACTATAAGAATTCCCAAAGTACAAAGGTATCAAGGGATAAAAATAAAACGATTACAACTAAAGACTTCTTGGTTGTATAATGTTCAGTTTCTATGTTTAATTCTTATCATATCATAGGGTTTTATTAGTCGTAAGCATCATTTCCAATTTGCAAATGCACATAAATAACATAAATGTACAGTTAGACACACTTAAAAATCAGACCATAGAAATAAATGATAAGAATAGATTTATTTTTACTTAGACATGAATATTACGGTAGTTTTCGTGACATTTTGTAGGTCAAAACATATTTCAAATAATTCATCTCAAAGGTGAATATATATACATGCATAGAGTCTGGATAGTCAGGTTCGGTAGGTACAGGCAATACCAACAGTCAGTGCTTTTGTACTTAATTTTTTTAATTATCATGCTCTGTTCTAAGGTTAAGGTTAAGTTGTTTTTTTTATTTACGATTTTGGCTTTGATGTTTAGTCCCTTTTTTATTTGATTGTCTTCAAGTTTTGCGTATTTTAAAATTGAAATTATACTACATAATGCCGATTCATATGTTTATCAGTAATTGTAAAATACCCAAAGATAATGTGTTATTTACAAATTTTACTTTCAAAAACTTTAAAGGGAATAATTAAAAAATGGAAGTTTAAAAACCCGAATTTATGATAAAACACACACTATACTCCACAAAAGTTTTTTCTAGCATTTCTGTCAATATATATTTACCACATTACTGCTTATTTATTTGTTTAAATGTATTCATTTGTTAAAACTTACGTTTTCCTCTCATTAGCTGTGTGTAGAAGTAATATTTTCAATTATTCTTGAATTTTCTGCAATATAACATTAGAACGTACATTAGAACGTAAGTATTGAAAGTTGCTGACAGTTGATTCGTGTCAATAAACATCTTAACCATGGATAAAACTGATAAAAATCTACAATATTTCGTTTATAAGCACGACGCTAAATATACAAATTCATACGTTATGATAATCACAAACAAAAATTAATGAAATATTTACCTGTTTTTGTGATGTATTTTTTTTCTCAGCATTTCGGTAGTGCGTTCAGTAGATTTGATTTCCAACAATGAGACACAAATATGTACAGAATAATACAAATTAATATCTATTTCAATAAAGAAGTTGGATCTGACACGGTTGGCTTCTCCAATCCATCAACTAATTAAAACAGTAAGTATATAATGGATTTATCAAATTGCATGCGTATAATGGAATGAAAATATCATTGGTTAAGATTCAATGTTTAGAGAGTATGTAAGTTTTTAAAATATAAAGATGAACGCATTGCAAAATATTACCAAGAATGCTGATCCTGAAACTCATTTATTTTTTCAACGATATGGGGTACTGTTGCTTAACACATATTTACAGAAACTATTCCATACAAAACTGTACAAGTTAGAATAATTATTATTATAAACTGGTCTGTTGCCTAATTTTAATTTCGTATTTTGTTCGTGTACGTTTGCTGGCATATATATATGCTGGATAGTTGCCATATTGAAGGTTTTTTATGGTGTTAACAGATCAAAGTAAGTCAACTTGAAAGTGAAATTTTCGACGAAATTGAATTATTCCACCACGCAAAGATAATATTTGGATGGATTGCCTGTACCAAGTCAGGAATATGACAGTTGTTTTCTATTCGTTTGATGTGTTTGGGCTTTTTATTTTGCCATTTGATAAGGGACATTCCTATTTGAAATTTCCTTGGAGTTCAGTATTTTTGTTATTTTAGTTTTTTTCATGTTTGAAAACAATGAACAATTTAACTTTATCATATTTTCACAGTTTTTTTTAAACACTTTGTCATTTCTCGTGATTACGCAAAAAAAGGCGTCCCTGGCAATACCTAGTCTTGAAATTATAATGTTTTGGCAATCATTTAATTTAGTCTTTGAATATGTCATTTCTTGAAACTTTACTACATGCATATAGCATTTTAATAGGTTTTCGAGTGTAAATATGATAACAATATTTCAGATCGTATGGAAATTGTTTATTTTAAAGCACATCATTTGCCTTCTATTGTTATTCAAACCAGCGTTCATGAATATTTTATGTTTACTACCATTTTCATCACATATAAGCATTGATTGGCATAAAACTATGAAATCATTTATACTGATTGAATGCGTAGATTTTACTATATCATACAAAAAGTGACAATAGAGAACTTATTTACTTTGTGCAATGAACATGTAAATTATGGGTTTTTGTCATTTTTTATTCATTAGTCATAGCTGAAAAAACATGTACATCATGAAATTATCAATTTATTTTCAACAATTATGTTCAGATAATGTGCTGTAATTGTTGAAATTTTATTGTATCTGTAGAAGAATAAAGGCGACCGTAGTTTACCATCAAAAATACATTACAATTACATTTGAACCAACTGTGCTCCTCTTCTTGCCGAATTGTTCTTTTATCTATATGAGACTGACCTCATAAAGGATCTTCTTAGGACGAATTAAAAGAAGCTAGCAGTATCCTTTAACTTCAGGTTCAGCTATAAAGATGATGGCATCTCACTAAATAATTCAGAGTTAGGTGACTATGTTGAACGCATCTATCCCTTCGAACTTGAAACAAAAGGGTCGGTTGATAATAAAACTTTACGACAAAAGAGATGATTTCCCAATTGTGAACTTTCCATTTCTATGTAGCTAAATTCCAGCAGCACCTGTATATGGAGTACATTATATAATATCTCCCAGTTGATACGATATTCGAGAGCTTGCATTTCATATCACGATTTCCATGATAGAGGATTAATGCTAACAAGGATTCTATTGAACCAAGAGTTCCAAGTGGTGAAGTTGAAATCATCCCTTCGAAAACTTTACGGACGCTATCACGAGTTGGTTGACCGTTGTGGAATATCTGTTTCACAGATATGTTCCAATGGTTGTAACCATAATACCGTCTTTTTTCCTCGAATGTGACTTGCCGAATTAGACTTATCACCAGATCGTACTGTCTTACATGAGCAACATGACGGGTGCCATATTTGAAGCTTAATCTGCTAACCCTTCCGGAGCACCTGATATCACCCCCGGTTTTTGGTGTCGTTCGTGTTGCTCGGTCTTTAGTTTTCTATGTTGAGTTTTGAATACTGTTGCTTGTCTTTTCGTTGTTCTTCGTTTTTTGCCATGGCGTTGTCAGTTTGTTTTCGACTTATGAGGTTGAATATCCCTTTGGTATCTTCGTCTCTCATTTACCAATGTTCCAATCTCGCAAATCGAAGAAAAAGAGACAAATCAAGGTATCAAACAAAATTAACTGAGGGAATCTGATGAACTCCAAAGTGAGCGAGACCGGATGAGTTGACAGGGTAAGCGTCTCCTGTTATGAATGCGTCACCGCCATACGAATCCACACTCAGTCAAAATGTCCCAATCGGGAATAGGATATAATCTGTAAAATTACAGATCAGACGTTTCTGAAAATACTGGTTTCTAAAGATTTAACATAATGCATCCATAGGCAAATCGATCTCATAAGTTAGATTAGTATCTGAATATCATCTGTAGAGAGATGTACTCCTTTCTCTGTTATCTCCCTTGATGATTCCGAATCTTTCCCCCCATAAATCTTACATTCCATTTTTGCAGTACGAAGTCACCATTCAAAATGACTTGACTTTATGTAAGCATAATGTCTTTGCAAACATACCTACACTGTGAAAATGTGACACTCCTATTTTTCTTGTCATGTGAGTTGATTTTCTCCATGATGTTCATGCTTTACAAATCTTAACCCTAAATCAAGTACGTTGTGTACAGATCATCAGTCCTATTTGTATGCCCCCCCCCCCCCCCCCATCGAAGGCGAAGGGGATATTAAGTGTTACCCTTGACTGTTCTTCCTTCCGTCTTTCAGTCCGTCCGTCCCATTTTCGTTTGTTTGAAGCTTGAGCGGGGGCATTCGTTTCCTCAGACACATTCTTATTTTATTTCATAAATTTCAAGCCTGTTATTTCTTTCTGTACTGGCACAAAACTCGTAGTGCGTAAAGTTTAACTTAAGTATTGCAAATGATAGTGCAAGAAGGTACATTTGTAAACTGATATTTAGATCAGTAATTTACCAATATTAGTTCCTGTTGGCTTTTCACATTTCCTGTGAATCTTTCATCTTTCAATTTCCATACATCATTTAAAATTGCGTATAAAGAAAAATAAATGGGGAATATCATCTACTTTGAATATGTTAGAGGGCACTAGGTCGGTCTATATTAATTTTCTAACTGCATTACAATAATAAATTTATGTATTTTACACAGAAAATCTTATGTTATATGTTTAAGATTTGAAAACGAAGAAGAACAATTAAAATAAAGTTCTGCAAGAGCCATTTTTCCGAATCCTTTTTTTTTTCCTTCTCTTTTTTGAGATATTCAAGAAATCAAATATGTTATAAATAGGGTGCCAGGTATTGTTTTAGATACGGTGTATGTCTATTTTGATCAACTAGTGTTGTGTTGTCTTTTTTGCTTTAACCCCACCTCTACTTAAATCCTTTTTCACTCAAAGAGCGAGACAACATGGGTGGAGAAATTATTTTACGTGTTGGGTTTGGAGCACGTAATATATTAACTGACGTCTAAAATATACGAACAGTGTCAAATTTAAACATCAGTTCGAGTTTCCAGACACTTAATTTCCACGCTACACTCTTAAAAGATAAGATGAAATTAAATGGTATCCCATTATGAGCTATATCATGCAATAAAGATTCACACCGTAATAATTGACAAACATTTATTATTTAGAAATATTGTTTATTGGAATTCCAAACAGATATATTAAGGTATTAAGGAGATCCGACTGTGTAAGAGAGTTTGTAAGAATGATAAACTTAAGACAAGCGGATTACGGTAGACAAAACAACCCATATAAATGATAAGAAATAATAATCAAATTAGAAATATAATAGATATATACCGAAGTTTCTAAAAAAATCAACTAATTGCCAAACTTTTGAAGCGATACTTTTTAAATGCTAGGTTGATATTAGTACACGAGTTTATATTGAACGACTAAATAAAAAAATTATGCAACCAATTTTCCCTGTTGATTCGATTCATCTTTATGTAACATAAAAACATTTCATGTAGCAGTATATTTACATAACTACTTAAAACTAAGCGATTGTGGTTGACATATCTGTTTGTTCAGGTAAATGCTAAATTTATACAATCATCAAACATTTTCACTTTTTGAAAATTGCAGCCATTTTATTTACAAGGTTCGGCGCCGCGGGAGATCATGACATCGGAAAAGGACTGTGACGCCATTGTTTAGAATGGTACCTTTCGGAATTTTTGGTCTTCAATGCTCTTTAACATCGTACTTAATTTTGGTCTCTTGACTTCTTTGATTCGAGCGTCACTGATGAGTCTTTTGGAGACGAAACGCGCGTCTTGCTTACAAATTTCAGTACTGGTATCTATGGTGAGTTTTTATTATAGGTCTGGATGCAATATATGTGTTTTGGTGTTCATTTAAGTCAATATAAGAATATAAAAGTGAAATAAAATAAGCAGCACTTCAATAGTTAGCAAGGAAGAATTTGTACATTTTACTTGTCAATCAATCGATTTGACTGTTTGCTTAACGTCTAGTGGCAAATATTCTATGCATTGTTAGAACGGAGAACTTTGCAATATCATTTTAGACGAAAAAAAGTAAATTAAATACATAATAAAATCAATAGAAGAAAACAAAAAATAACCATGTTTTTCAATATTCTCCACACCCTAAGCAGTTCAGATCAGATTGGTAATTTGTATTGTTTTGTTAGGTT